CGGAGGCAGTATGACCTCTGGAACGTTGGTTAACATCGACCAGACTACACAGCGCAACAACCCAGAAGACAGAAATCTTCATACTCACCGCTGTGAGAACCTCAAATCTTACAAAATTTAATAAGTAATCTGTTTTGTACTCTGCAGATACATTGATTATGGAATTTAGAATTTCTGCTGAGAGATTGTAGACATTTTATATTAATTACTCTGTTCTCTTATTGAGATTATGTTACTGTTTTCAGGCACCATATGAGAATCCACCACATATATATGGTCTGGCTGATAATATGTACAGGAATTTATTAATAGATAATGAAAATCAGTGTGTAATAATCAGGTGAGTTGTTGCTATTTTCATACCATTTTTAATTTCATGTACCTTTCAGATACAGAGGTGCTGTTGTTATAGGTGTAATAAAAGAATATGCACTGGAATGATGATGTCTCATTATAATGAAATCTTATTTAAAATTATGTGCATAAACTTATGTAATTATATACACCATATTACGACAGAAAAGTTAGAGAGATTTTACAGTATGGTGACCATTTACACGAACCTCTTTAACATACACCGGTATAATATCATCTAACAGCAAAATTGTTACAAATTTTATATTGTATTTGAATTCACTAGGCCCTGCAGAATATAAATTTACATGGCTTGACTCTTCAACACAATAAACTTTTTGAATATGACCAAATGCAAGATTAAAATGTTTGTATCAGCTTAACTAGTGCAACTTTACGAGGTGCGATCGGAAAGTTTCCAGACTGTGTCAATAGAGGGCGAACCGGATGTAGTACGAGCTTATGCCGCTAGGGGGTGCGGCCTACATTCATAGTGAATCAGTGTGCCAGCCGGCATCATCGAATTAGCATTTGTTGCTTAGTTACGGGCGTTTTGGTAGTGCATTACACCGACCCTCCTGCGATTTCGGAATGGCGAATTTTCATGAACAAAGAGTGTGCATCAGATTTTGCCAAAAGACTCGCCAAAATGGCTACGGAAACCTATGAAATGCTAAAGCAAGCATTTGGGGAGTCCGCAATGGGTCGTGCACAAACTTTTGTGTGGCATTCACGTTTTAAAAATGGCCGAACCTCTGGCGATGATGACGCGCGTTCTGGACGACCATCTTCGAGCACAACGC